GTACATGTATATGTACATGACTGTACATGTACAATTTGTTAACACTATATAATCTATACGTCACTTCCAACCCCCCCCCCCCACCACACACACATGCCCCTCATGCCCCTGTCACATTGTCACGAACTTTCCCCGAATTTGTTCCCAACCTCCAACCGAATTCGCCGAACACCAGCCAACCATATCCGACTTCACGTCGATCTTCTCCCAACCATGGTTGGGGACATTCGGCTCGTGTTTGGGAGGCCGAATTCGTGAATGTTTGACACGGGCGAGTAAGCAAGGTATAGGCCAAAAATAAAGGCTCAAATAGTTACATACTGTATATGTAAACACCTTCTAATTTCAGAACAAGGGAAGAGATTTGAAAGGACATTGAAAGGAAAGAACGCCGAAAAGCGGATGTCCTGATTTCAAGGAAAACCCTTCGATCACCTCAAATATTTCTGCCAAATTCTCGGTGACAATTCAAGCACACGCGATCTCCCCTGTCACTCAGAATGACTAGGTATGTTTGAATGCACAGCACCGTGAGAAGGCATGCCGACCTTCTTCACCCTACTTATCTACCTGGCTGAAAGGACGCCTTCGCCCCGAGGCTAACTTCACATGTTAGCTGGCAGTATTAGAGGGTCATACGTGGGTAAAAATTCAGAAGATATAGAGATACGTACCAGGCGTTTGTACAGAAAAAATGTTTTCTTATTGGTTGTTGATGCAAATTAGAAAGTTTAGGGAAAGATCACAGAGTGTAAAACGCATACACAGGCACTATAGCTGGCAACACAGCAACTTGTTTACGTCAATTACACAATTATGGGTGGGGCGCGAGTACGGAATGATAGGTTAGAGGTCATTAGTGGAGACGCGAGCCTATATTTATACCACTCATGACTTTTTGCCACACTTGTTAAGAAGTCTATGGTGTGTTGTTTTGGTTAAGTGCTGGTTTCCTAGTTCGTAGTTAGGGTTTGATAATTATAGTAGCTTAGTCGTTTCCTGGATAGGCACAGATAATCTTTATGACAAAACGTTCTAAACGTTCTTGCCAACACTGAGTAAATTGGGACTTACCCCAAATTTTCACGGAATGGACCGTTCTACTGCAGCTTCCGGGACGTGACACCGGAAACACGTGACACCGAAAACACGTGATAGCAGCAGAGAGTCGTACGTGTCAGATAACCTGTGTCGCCCCCCGTCTCTGTCCAGCGTTGGACGGTTGACCCGAATGTACACCGCCTCATTTATTCCTCACGCAAAGATATCCGGTTCTGAGTCCAGAATTTTCACTTTGTCCAGCGAGACGAAGTGTCCTGGAGATTTTATGTGTATATGTTCGGATTCTTTTTTTTTGTCATAATGAAGTATACCAACACAGATGGACTTTCATGCTAACAGATAATCTTTGTTTACGAAATTACAGCAATGTTATAAGTGACAGAAATGCTGTCACAAGACTAAGGATCAGCTGCCACAAACTACATGTTGAAACCGGAAGATTTACGCACACCCGTCGATTGTGACTATGGATTACGATTGTGATATTGATGTTTAATTCCGTCTTTGTCTTATATACACTGTTACATTTGCTTATTTGTACCAAGGGCTACTCTGAAAAACAGTACTAAGCCACTGTGTAGGGCTACTCTGGTTAAAGAACACAGATATAAATAAATAGAATGCAAATATTCTAATTTGAATAGAATATAGGACGAATTTTGTAATAGACTGTAGGTTCTCTTGGCTTGGCTGTAGGCTATATAGCAAAGCTTGGCTGTAGGCTATATACATCTCCATTTCTATTTCGTCTTTGTGATATAGAAATGGATATACATATCCAGAAAGAAATGGATATACATATCCATTTCTATTTCGTCTTTCGTCTTTCTTAGGCATTACAGTTCTTTACTATTCCTGAGTGTTTAACACTCGACCGCTCTCTTTCTCTAAGTCCTAAATGTAAACACATACTGTCCACTCCTCCACAGGTGTTTCACTCTGTACTCTCTGTCTCTTTCTGTCTCTTTATCTCTTGTAAACACACTGTCCACTCTTTCACAGGTGCTTCACTCTGCATCACTTCTGTCTTCTGTCTCCTTCTGTCTCTGCATCTCTTGTAAACACACTGTACACTCCTCCATAAATGTTTCACTCCTTCACAGGTTTTTCACTCTGCATCACTTCTGTCTTCTGTCTCCTTCTGTCTCTGCATCTCTTGTAAACACCCTGTCCACTCTTCCACAGGTGTTTCACTCTGCATCACTTCTGTCTTCTGTCTCCTTCTGTCTCTGCAACTCTTGTAAACACACTGTACACTCCTTCACAGGTGTTTCACTCTGCATCACTTCTGTCTTCTGTCTCCTTCTGTCTCTGCATCTCTTGTAAACACACTGTACACTCCTCCACAGGTGTTTCACCATTCATTCATTCACTAACTCACTCATTCATTCGTTCATTCATTCAGTAGTATTATCTAATGATCTCTTTACTGTTTACTGATTATTTTATCATTTCCTTTGTTGCTATAATTATATACTCCTTGGGTATGAATTTGCAATATACTTTCTACTATATAATCAGAGGTTTGACAGATTCGTGGGGTGGACAATGGATACAGGTGGCCAACATAAAGTCCCAGGGCTTGCCCCACCGAATTTAGCATAGGTGCCAGGCTCCGTAGTATTCGCCCGCTCCCTAATGTCGCTAGCTACCACCTTCAAAATCTGGACGAATATTCAGATTCCAGACGTTACATACGTTAGCAAGTCCTGACCCAGTGGTAGCTAGCGACATTTGGGAGCGGGCGAAAATTATTACTACGGAGGATGCTAGCCTCCTGTGCAGGCCCCGCGGCGGTGGGGAAGAGTT